TTTACCTCCATATGCCCCCACTTGTTATGTGGCAGTTAAGGGCATGTATACTAAGTGCTTAAAACTAGCAACTGCGCAGCCATTGCATAATGTGGAGGACACAGACTAATGTGTCACTGCCAAAATAGCTACAATGTAAAATTCTAAATATAATGTTTGTTGTATATTAGTACAGAACAGATTTCCACAGATATAAAACTCTGTCTCACACATTGCACTGTGAATGGTGTATTTGTGTGGAGTGCCACTATGTATAAATGTAGGAGTGTTTTCAGTATTCATGGGAATTCATGGGTGTGTGCCAGAAGCTCCAGTACCACAACCTTTAGGAGAGGCTTAAAGGTTAGCTTTTTGCCAACAGAGTACGGCCTGGTCCCAAGAGCACCTGAAAGGTAGCAATCAACCTACACGGACGGTAACAATCAATTTACAAACTATGCATTGTTAGTTTGATAACTCTGCAGTGTCCTCTACTGACTGAATTAACATAAAGCTGGTATACAAATTAGTGCAACCAAACAAGTAGCTAAATGTACATATTGTTGTTTTGTATTGTTCTTTAAAAAGTTATTTGTATTATATATTTCATGTATTAATAATAATTATTTATTCTCCAGTGTTCTGTATATTTGTAATTTAAATTCCTTTCACTACATGTTTAAGGACAAGTCACCAAAGTCTAGTACTTGTCCAAAAATAAAAGAATTATATGTTAGTTTCATTGGGAACTGTGTGTCCTATCTGGTTTGTTCAGGGATCCAAGTAACAGAGTGACTCCCCCGAAGATAGGCCTGAGAGAAAGGCAGAGGGGATGATACCTGAATGAAAGGAGAGAGCCGCAGTCTGGTCCAGTGGGTGAGGTCCTCAGAGACCCCAGTCAACCTTCAGCGACTGGGTCTGAAGTGCTCCAGAGTTCCTGGTAGTAGAGACGGAGCTGACCTAGTGGAGCTACTCAGTCAGAGTACAGGTCCTCCGTCACAGGGTGTACATGAGAAGTGTTAGTAAGTTGTAATTGTGTAAAGTAATATAGCTGTAATATCGTCAGCTCCTGCTTCCTTACAATGGGGAGGACCTCAGTTCTGCAGTCCTGCATCATGTAAGGCAGCCACTGGGTGTCATACTTCATTGAGATCACAGCACATCTTCACCATGGCTCTCACTGCAGTACTGTGCACGTGATCACGTCTTTGCAATGCGATCCATCCATAGAACTACCTCCAGCTGTGCGCTCCTGGTTACTGGCAGCAGCTATTTACATCAAAACCATTTTCTGGCATTCTACACTACATCTTGGTCCTGATCTCCAGTCTGTACCCAGATTTAGAACAACAGGGGAAGAATTTAAAGCATAGGCACCAAATGTGGGTAACTGTCAAGTATTACAGGGTGAGGACCTGGAGCTCCTTGCATGGATCTAGGTCTTATATATGCTTGGTGGGGTTATTACACTCATACTTATATTTCTGAACACATATCTGCTCTTAAAGGAACTCTCCCAACCAAAGTCCGCTGTAATGGTTATGGTGCTAGGAGTTCTTTGGTACCATCCCATGGTAAGATGTCACATCCCGCATCCTGCTTCCATGTTTTCTTTAGGACAATATGTTAGATCTACAGAGCTAAGCAGGACCATGCAGGAGGAATGCTGTGCATTCTGCCACGGGCATAACATAATAAAGGATAAGACACCACATATTCAAAGCCCTTTCATATTCATAAGAAATAACAGAAATAGATATTCACTGACAGTATGCACCCACGCTCTGATACACACTGACATTCTACACAATGACATGATAATATTGTTTTTTTCCACTGAAACTCCCCTCTCCTTTTTCAACGATTGTTCCAGATTATTTGGATATTGTAAATCATGAAATGATTGTGAAGGGATGTATATTATACTAATAGGGAATATATAGAGACACAATATATCACCTGTTGTCTTGATTTTTAGGGTCACTATATCTAATTAACATATAGATACAACTTTTAGTTTTGTGTTTATTTTTGGCAATGGATAATAAAGTTATATCACTGAATAGATGGTTAAATAGTTATCTTTTGCTATATTGCAGCAATCTTCTCACAAATTGTTTACTGTTGAAGGCATGTCAATCACTTTATTTTATGAAATACCAAACCAGTGATTCTCACATCAGGTTTCTCTGATCTATTACATGTTTAGTTTTAAAGTAGAGTAAACACCTGCTTTCTCCACATTGCAGGTGCCTATTCTGCTAAAATTTACCCAGCCAGGAGGAGAGGTAGCTGGAGGAGCTCAGTCTTCCTGCTCCTCACTGCTCCCTCGCGCGCCGTCTGTAGTGATGCCGCATGCCGGAATATGACGTCATATTCTGGCACCCGGCATCACTAAACTGCGCGCGTGAGGGAGCAGTGAGCAGGAGGTAGCAGATCTCCAGATAGAAGATCCCCACTGGACCCAGGGATAAATACAACGATGTGAGTGTGTGCAAGAATGTGTGTGTGTCTGGCTGTCAGTATGTGTGTCTTTCAGTGAGTGTGTGTCTGTCAGTGAGTGTGTGTCAGTCAGTGAGTTTGTGTGTGTCTGTGTGTGTCAGTGAGTGAATGAGTGTGTGTGTGTGTGTGTGTGTGTCAGTGAATGTGTGTGTCTGTCTGTGTGTGTGTGTGTTAGTGAGTGTGTGTCTGTCTGTGTGTATCAGTGTGTGTCTGTGTGTGTCTGTGTCAGTGAGCGTGTGTGTCTGTCTGTGTGTGTGTTAGTGAGTGTGTGTCTGTCTGTGTGTATCAGTGTGTGTCTGTGTGTGTCTGTGTCAGTGAGCGTGTGTGTCTGTGTGTGTGTGTGTCTGTCAGTGAGTATGTCTGTATGTCTGTCAGTGTGTTTGTCAGTGAGTGTGCCTGTGTGTGTGTGTGTCTATCTGTCAGTAAGTGTGTGTGTGTGTCGGTCAGTGTTGCAATGGCCACGGCTGGACAGTGGAGGACCTGGAGGTGCACTGAGGCAAGCAACGCCACGTCACATTCCAACGTGACGTCGATGTTCTCCACCTTCATAGGGTTTCAAGAAGTAGTGGGAGGATCCACTTTGGCACATGGTGCGGACGGCGCCATTTGGGGTACATCAGAACCCGGAGTCGCATACTGGCAGCGGCAATGTGAGTGGAGCCTGCTTGTTGGCTAGAGGGGGGTGCTGGGATTTAGTAGAGGGAGGCACTGGGATTTGGTATATGGGGAGGACTGGGATTTAATAGAGGGGGACTAGGATTTAGTAGAGGGGGGTGCTGTGGTTTAGTAGAGGGGGGTGCTAGGGGTTATTTTATACTGTACTTTTTGAAAATAGTTGTTAGTTGTGTTTTTTGCGTCCCATAAACCTTGTTTATTTGCCCCATGCTAGACTTTGAGTTTGACATACCTGCTCTACACTCTGTTCCTGTTATCAACAGGAAAAGAGAGGAGGAGCCGTATATTGAAGGAGAAGAGGGTGTTTTTAGAATGTTTTAAATTCTTAGTTAGAATCTGCAGGGTATTATTTTTGCATCCACTACATCAGGAGAGTTAGAAGATCTCTAAATGTATTTATTTCCTTTTTAGGGTAGATCTTAGGTACTTTTTACTTTAAAAAAGCAGTAAAATAAAATAACAAAATAAATTACTCGTATTGTTTTTCCAGCACTGAGATGTTCTTCTGTCTGCAGCTCCACTCTACCCCCAGGAGACCAACAATACTGATGGTTTAGGGACCATTTCAATTATTCTCATAGAGAAGCATTGGGAATATAGGGTGCATGTACGGCAATAGCCTCGCTTCCACCAACAGAATGCTTCTCACAGAGAAACCCTGTATCCAATGTTTCTTATGTGAAGTACTCACTACTGCTTTGAATGAACATTCAAAACAAGGGAGCAGGAAACCTTCCCAGCGTTTTCTATTGAAATTGGCACTTTTTTAAAATAAGACAAAGAGCCAGTTAACCTGTAAAGCACTTCAGCAAGCTAAAGTACTCTAGGAGACTGCACTGGTCCTTTAAAGCTGCAGTAATGTTTACATGTCGCTCTGGGTGCAGAGTTCTTTCTACATTATACTATTTACAATGATGCAAACTTGTGACACTTAGAATGCTTTTTATCACCTGCACCAATGATGCATTCTGCTATGACATTACCTATCATGTGTTATGTAGACAAGGGAACATTTTCAATCTTGAACGAATGCTGAAAACACAATACTCAGGGGTCTCATTTTTAATTGGTGGGGTACCAGCTTCTTGATCCAAGGAGAGATCTGACTGTCATTCTTGAGTCAAGAAGGATATTTTTTTCTAGTTTGTTGCAAAATGGAAAAATGCTTCAAACTGATTTGTTTTTCCTTTTTTTGGATCAACAGCAAAAATAAATGTGAGGAAGGCTTAACTTGATGGACACATGTCTCTTTTCAGCCTATTTAACTATGTAACCATGAATGAAGGAAAAGGAAAAATCTGCTTAATTGTTAAGATACATTTCATGAACTTATCTTCAGTAGTAAACATAACTGAGCACGGGTAAGGGGTATTTTATCATTGTCCAAACATCCATGTTCCCGTTCAAGGAATTCATTACATCACCATTCCCCAGCAATCAGTTTGCATTTGGATTGTGGCACTAATCATATCTCAGATTATTTTTCCAGAAAGTATCCGCGTACCACTTCCAGTCTGTTTCTCCTGAACAGCATGCTAGATATTTAACCCTCGCTTTGCTTACAAATAAATTCCACAATATGTCACTTTTGCGGTGTTCATCCCATTCGATATACACTGAACTGGATTTTGGATAATTAGTAATTACTTAACAAATGGATTAAATTCACTGTGCTTTTAAATGTGGCTCTAACCTGCAATTCCAGCTTGGTTGCCTTGCATGATAGGATTTGAATGCTACAACTTCCAAAGTGCCATGCTTTGTCCTCATTCCATAAGTGGGTTATTTAATTATTGTACAACAAATTCATATACATTCAAAAGTGATCAAAATGCAAAATACTATTTTTTTTTAATTACATTTATATAAAAAATAAAACTACAAAAATGTAATCACGTTACTGAATTACAGATGCATTGTGGTTCATAAGACCAATCGAACGTCTCCAGCTCCTTCCTTTTATAGAAATATAAAACTGAAATGACACTTTAACGCTGTAACAATAGACTATAGAATTTTTGCACAATATACAAATTCCAAATCAGTGGTAATGCCAAAACTGGTAACAGTCTCAAAAACAATTGTACAATTATGGAATATCCAATATCCAAGAGGGTAAAAAATAGCAAATTTTAATATATACAGTAATATTTATTTTCACAAACACTTATAAAAATATATTATAAATCTCATTTCTGTTGTGTTAACAAAAATAATGTTTTAAAATAACAATGATGTTAAAAACAGCAATGAAAACAAATCTATATCTTGTTACATTTTATATTTTTGCAGTTGTTATAAAACAGGTTTGCAAAACACAGATATGTTATATTTACATTATGTCTCTTAATGCAATGAGACACGTGTCCATTTGGAGCACTCTTAAAGCATTTTGAAATCCGAAGTATAAAACTGTGTCCCATGACCATGAAGTAGTACATTTTATTTTTTGTCCAACAGTGTTAATCTCATATTAGTACATTTGGTATTATGCACTTAGACGGATGACCTTTGATCACCTAAGGCATCTTGCCAGATTTTCAGCATCTTAAAGTCAAGGAAAGTCCCATCCGAGCTTATATCTAAGCAATGGCCCCACATAATATATTAGCTGTTGTCAATTCTTTGGGATCACATTCTGGTCGTCCTGGTATCACAAATGGCCAGGTCTGAAAGTACAAATTGGACAATATCAGTGAAATAATGCAGGCAATTTTAATATGCATGTATGTCACAATCCTAACTTTAAATATGGTAATCCTAGGACAAAGTGCTAAAATAGGAGCAATCTCAACATATAACGTGTATTCTGCCCCCAGAGTTGGTCCAGTTTCTGCATTGCCAAACATGGTGCAAAATAACAAATTTAGCTTTGGTTTTATACATATAATTGTGTATATATATATTTCACATAGCATTGTTCACACATTATGTGCATGTTTATATCTGTAAATGAATTACTATATATATTGTGCATATGTGTGTGTATGCATATATATATAAATAGATATATACATATATAAATATATATAAAAATAATTAATTTACATATATAAACATGCACATATATGTAACATGGAAAATTAAACAACACAAAGCAAAACAGACTGCACATATATCTAGAGTTATTCACTAAAGTGAGAATTCAAAGAAAATTTCAAATTTAAAGTCAATATTGCCAATCGCTTTGATTGGTGCACAGCTTGCATTAACCTTATAAATATGAATATTATTATGGTATACATATGCCATATGTAAATATATCTTAGTCTAGATATTTACAGCTATTCATTTAAAGACCAGAAGTATTGCAAAAAAAAAAAATACATTTTAATTGCACACAATATAGCTATATCTATAATCTCCATCAATAATAAGGCACACAAATAGTGCATGTTTTGCCATAACATTCCTTCAATATGAAATGATGGGAAATGATTGGAAGAACTGTACAAATTTAAACTATGAGACTAAATAATATATCTAGGGTTTTATACTCTGACTGAAGTCAGTATAAACCAGTTCAATTATTGGACACATTTATGTGTCACTAGAATGTCCCACTGGTTTCAGCAGTAATTGTTCCACATTTAGTACTTTGTCCCAGTAATGATAAAAAGTGTTGATAAATATGGCTCATTTATTGTCCCAAGCAATTCATGAAACGTAGGAGACCACAATGTCAATTCACAAACACACAGAGAAGGAACAACAGTAATACAAGGTAGAGTTGTATTTAGCAAACAGTGAGCTGTGGCGAAAAATAACAAACATGAACTGTAGGGCGCAAAAGCAGAGCTGCAGGCTGAGGCTGTTTGAGTCCTCACAATTCTGTATTGCTAAATCGACCCCATGCACTAATTTAGTAAACAGTTCCTTGTTATAAAGTTAAATTGCACATTTTGAATTGGAGAAAGTTTGCTATACAGCTAATCTGACTTTGTATTTGCAAGTTTGGTTTGCAGATCATTACACATCACTATTATTAGTAAGAAAGTTTTTTATTATTTAATACATTTCTTTCTACATGCTATTCACGTTTGCATTGTCTCAATATACACTATACTAAAAACTATGCATTGACCCTATGTTTATTTCGTTAAAACCTTATCTGAAAGCATTCTCGTTCTATCTGACAAGGAATAAAATGACAGTCAAATGTTGGGGTCTAGGTCTTAAGACTCACAGCTAGCCAAATGATTAGTCAAATAGTCAAGCATTATAGTTTCATTTATTTTTTTAAAGCTTCCTCTCCTTGTTAATCCCTATGTGAATATTTGTATTCTATTTTTAATCTATCTAATACTGTCCAAGGTAGGTCCTGTGAGTTATAATGGAGTATTAGTGGCATGAACTTATTGAGGACTATTGGCTATTAGGCTGCTACTGCTAAACTGCTATTTTTACATGCAAAGGTGATTATTTTAATATAAATCATTTAAATTATCATATATTAAAAGCAAATCCTGCTGTCATACCCTAATGTCCACTGACCACATGGAGATATGTGTGTACAAGGGGTGCCAGGGGTACGCAGGCACATGCTAATTAGTGGGCAAACTGCACTCCATTAATGTATCTAAATTCCCTATAACTCATCATCTGGTTAAAGAGAAAAAGGCATGATACCTGTAATTGACTGTTTTGTATATAGCAGCTCCGCACAATAGGGAAAACTGGAGTTGTGTGCATCATTTAGTAAGTTTATATATTTTTTGATATATTATTGGATTTTGAATGTATTTAAATTAACATGTTAAAAATACCAATATTTACTTTTAGCAGTATTAATGAATACAAATACATGTCCATTGAGTCTGCATTTTCTGCATCTGTTTGCCTAATATTAACATAAAAAAAATCTCTCCCCCCAATAATTCCCCTTAGATAAATGATCTGCGAACACGTTGTGCACACTGTTGTATCATGCGTGTAAATCTCAGCATTGTCCATTACCATGTGGCAGCCCTGGTCGCCGACTGGTGCTGGCTGTATGGGAGCTTCATTCTTACCAGGTTGACTGGGTGAATGTAGCTATTGTCATATCTGTCCTCCTGGAGCAGTTGCCTTAGATGAGCAATGTAGCTGGAGGCCAGCCTCAGGGTGTCCAGCTTGGAGAGTTTGGTGTCTGGTGGGACCCATGGAAGGCTGGTCTTCAGCCTGGAGAAGGCTTTGCTCAGGACCCTCATGCGGGCTCTCTCCCTGGCGTTGGCCGCGTTTCTTTGAGACTGTTTGCACTCCTTGGAAGACCTGCCAGGCTGCTGCTTCTTGTCTGGACTCTGGTGGCTTCTGCAGCCACGTTTCCTTTTGCCACTTGATGGCTCTGAGACTTCTTCATCAGAGTTGTCGGTGGAGTGGTCCAGCAGAAGCTCACTGCATCCTGCTCTCTGAGCTTTGGGGTACTGCAGCTCCAAAACTCTCAGCTCCAGCAAGTCCTCAGTATCGCTCACTGACCCAGTGGACATGACTCCAGTGTCCTTTCAATCTCCAGCCAGAGGACCACAAGGCAGTGCCACCACATCCACCTCAGTACATGCAGTCACAACAACATGCTGAACAACAGCAATCCTCTTCTGCAGACAAGTAAACCTAGTCATACCCTCTCCTCAGCTAATTATTTCACTATATATTCAGGGTCAGTACAGCTGATCAGCTATGTAGAAGGGAGGGGTGTGGGAGTGGGTCAGGATGGGGGTGGGAATGACAGAGGGGGTTGGAAGTGGTCCTTCTTCTGGATAGTTTCATATTGCCAAATTAACCATGTGTTGGTGTCATGCTTTAAATCTTCCTTATTTTGTAACTGTTCATATATAAATATGTTTATGATTCTATAAATTACTGTAGAATGGCTTATGATATTTGTTTTATTATTGTAATTATTATAGTACAAATAAGACTTACACAAAGCATAAGAAATTTCCTTTAGAAAGCAGTGTGTGCGCTTTGGTATCTGAACTAATTCAGATATATAGTTCACTGTCAAATAACATCTTATTTATACCTATCCATTAATAGCTTTGTCTCATAATACAGGCTATATGTTTTTCTTAAAACTGTGCTGGAGTTTATTCACTAAACACTTTATTGGGGTGAATTGATAACAGAACTGCAAAATTGCAAAATAGCTGTACTGTGATTTTTTTTTTTTTTTTTAAATCTCCAATTTTATTTTTTTTTAAATTACCAATTTTTGGCAACATTTTGCAATTCAGTTTACAATGAGTTTTTAGTGAATGGACCTTGAATGTAGGATGGCATATCCACACTGATACCAAATTATCTTTCTAAATACAGTGTTAAGATTGCTAGTCTGTAACTGTCTTTGTGTCGGAAGGCGCATTGCGATTTCACTATGACTTAGATTGTTAAATGTCATTTAGTGGTATTTATTCAGCTATGTAACAGCCTTTGTTTCATACTTACTACAGTCATACTAAGCAATCGGTATACCAAGATAAATAGGAAGTAGGCACACTGTCATTCTAGAGATTTAAACTGTGTAATAAAAAGGTTATGTTTTAGGCGGTTGAGAAATTGAAATAAACATTTACTTAAATAAATTAAGTTATAAAATAATCTTTCAAAACACATATTTGTTTAAAATAATGCACTTTACACTGATCAAAGTGCTTAATCTGTTTAATAGCTTTAACACAATTTTCTAAATTACATGAGCATTTTTTTGTCATTCCCTAAACTTTACCCTAACGTTTTAAGGGTTTGTTCACTAAACACTGATTTCTATCTGAAAGTCATTACATTAACCCCTTAAGGACACATGACATGTGTGACATGTCATGATTCCCTTTTATTCCAGAAGTTTGGTCCTTATGGGGTTAAAGGGTAAAATGCAATGCGGCTCTAGATTTTGAATCGACTTTGTCACTTCTGAGTATTTAATATGAATATAATCTTTATGACACCACTCATGCAGGCTGAGTTAGAATTACGGTACAATCCAAGGATACCATAAGGCAAAGTGAGCACTATTTGTTTTATGGTAAATCCAAGGTTGACTAAAGATAACAAAAGGCTGAGTTTCGCCATCAACTTTTTTCCAATCCCAGTAGCTGTCACAAGTGACAACTGTGGGATTCAGACATCATAACGCAATCGCTAGAGTACAGCACTGACACAGATGAAGCACCAGGAGCTGAAGAAGGGTCCCACGTAAGAAGAAGGTGGCGGCAACAAAGGACAGTTTCAGGTAAGTAACCTACCGTCCACTGAACCCTGCATCCTCTAGTACCTAAGTGGTAGAAATCACCACAAAAAAACCTAGAGTGACAGATCCACTTTACTAGACTAACTTTGACGTTTGTAATATTAATCTACATTTAAATAACTTATTCTACACTCCCTTTAACATGCAGATTAGTAAATACACCCCTATGTTTAGAAGGTAGGGGAAAACTGCAATCCTAAATTTATCAGTACATCAATTTATAAATTGTTTTGGTATCTGCGGTTGAACGGAGAAAGAGTTAACATCCGGATTGGTTTACCTTAAAAGAACCCTTCAGACCCCTAAAGTAAGCTGAAGTGCTTTATGTGTGAAGTTTGTCCTCTTTTTTTTTCATTTTTACACAAAGTGTAGAAAGGAAAATTTAATATAATATATCCATATTATATTTTCCATTCTGTGAATCATGAGGGGTTAAACCCCAGACACCACTGGAGTGTCATTTTGGTGACTATATTTAAGTTGAGAGGATCCACAGCCGCAGACTATCCCAACTTTCATATATCTTTACTTACATAAAGTGTAGATTTCAATAGAAATTGGCACTTTTATAAATTAACCTGGTTACACCCCACTTGCTGTCAATCAGACAAATACAAATGCCCAGAGCCCCTTCCTTGCAGTCTGTGATTTTGCAAGCTGTTTTAGCTATGCCCCCAATG